AGCTCAAATATGTCCCCCACAGTTTTTCAACTGCGCTATTTGCATATCGACAGTAGTGGCTGAGTGAAAGATACACTACAGTTTTGTTTTTTTTGGTCTCTGCAACTCAAGTAGATACTGAAACAACAGAAAACCAACATTTTGCAATCCAAACAATCAGTTTTCAAGGATTTGACAGAACTTTAATATGGATTGTGTTGTATGTTGTTCTACTACTGCCATCTGGTGGTTATAATACAAAAACACATGTATACCATAAAAAATTATCTGTTTGTAAAGCATTTAGTGATCACCAGGGCTTAAGATGTCTATAAACATTATAACCCTGAAGCTCCACAATACACCAGATATATTCTGTCACAAAATAACTGTATTTGTCGACACTTTGGTCGACTTTGATCCGAGGTCAAATGTCAGTCAGCACGTCTCACCTGGGCTTTGACCTTCACCTCTGTAGTCATTTCAACTGCTGCTGTGGGAGATCATTAGTTTTAGTCCAGGCACATCAAAGAGAACATTACTTAGTGTTTCCAGCATTCTTCATGTCAGCATAGAGACTTTATACAAACACACACACACAAGCACACACACCTATTCTATCTCAAACCATAATAATAAGTATCATCTTTTTATCGGACCCCGCAAGTATAGTGTATAGTAGTCAAGAATATATTGAAATAAGGCCACACACTTTCATCTGAAAAGAGATTGATACTTTCAGAGAGACCAAGTACAGTATATATAGTAGTATAGTACATATTACTGTAAATCAAAGCCACATACTTTCAGGATACCTTCAGACCATGGACAAAGGGACACATTGTGGTGAGTAATGTAATGTGATAGATATGTTTAAATGAAGGCCTTGCTACTGTCACTGTTGTTATTCACTATGTTTACTGGCTGATTGTATTTGTTGGTATATGTGTGTTTGGCATTCTCTTGATAATTGGCTGACATTACTAAACTTTGATATACAAGCAGGGTACGATTATAACAACATTAACTTAGTAGCATTTAAACCCGGTTTAAACCACTATAAGAGACAAACGTCTGTTGCATACTTGGTTCTCTATGCTAAAAGGTGCTTGAAGTCACGGCTCTCTGTCATTTCAGTCACACCTGCAGCAGAGTGTGACTGCCCTCCAGTGGCTGAGGGGACCTCTTTCACTACGATTCAGCTCCACCATGCCCCTCAGCCTGATGGAAAAAAAGCAGCTCTCCCCTGTGACTCCCAGCCAAGGCCACGGGTGAGTGAGGAGGACCGCCCTGACACACACAAAGGGCCACTACACTCAGTGGAAAAACTGACACATGAGTGACAGAGCGAGAGAGAATCCAGAAATCAGAGAGGAGTTAATAGCTTTTTGCTGCTGTTTGTTGCACTGAAACTAGTCTGCTAACTGAGTCAAGTTTAGAATTAATGTTTAGGCGAGTTACTCGACTTTAATCATTAAATCAGCTTCGAGCTTTACTCTGTCAGTAAATAATGTTCAACAAAATTTGCAATTTTAAATGTTGACAAGGCAAAACCTAAAGTTATGACATATGACAAAAAAATCCTTGAAATGATCTTAATATAGTAGACTACAAACTTCTTAATGACCTCAGATTCTGGCTTATATTTACAGCAGCACAAAAAAATGGCTGCCATGTGTTGGAAGCCTCCCAACTCTTCTTTGTATGCTTGGGTTTTGACGCATGTGGTGGACATTGTATACGAGGAGTTGTCGACTCTTTGTGTCCACAGAGTCAAATAATTAGTTATAGAGCCTCTGGATTCACTTTGAATTACATCAAGGACCTTTTGCAGTGCATTCATTGTAGAGATTGATGGGTTGGAACAGGGGTGGGGTGGGAGGGGTCCCTTCTTACATTCCTTTAGCAAGGTTTTTGTCTTTTGTATAATGTCTATGTTTTGAGACGTGGAAAAAGTGAAATGGAGCAGAGATAGAGTCATTCATTTTACACTAGTGATAATACACTGCGAGTTGATGCTTCACCAGACACAGTGGGGTTCTGATGGAGACACAAGCACACATCACTGGTGCATGCTAACCAGTCTGTTCTGGGTCACGTGGTGAAACAACATTGGTTTATGTGTAAGATGGATGGGAAATTCCAAAAGTAGGAGAATCAGCGCAGACTTTTAGTTCAGTATATACGCATCCACATATTTGTTGATGTCTGGATCCTGATGCAAACCACAGAAAGTCAGTAAGACTCAAGAAGAAGTGAGAAACTGGAGAGAAATACATCACCCTGAGAGGCCAACATAACTCAGTCAACCACAACATGTCTGACATGACCTCTGACAGCTTCTAGCCCATTAACCAGGCAAGAAACAACATGTGCGCTTCAGACCTCAGTCCTGCCACCTTATAGCAGAGTACGATATATCACAGCACTGTCTATAGTGAGGGAATGATCTATTCTTTCCTCCCCAGCTGTCACTTATGAAAGGCTTAGATTTCTGGCAGCTTTGTCTGCCTCATAAAGTTACAACCTGCTGGTGGAGGTGTGTGTATGTATGTTTGACTGTGAGTAGGATATAAAATGATTCCCTTGAAAATCTAATTTTGGAAACTGGGTGTTGGTTAACTATGAATCATCGATGGATAATGCTTTCAAGCTTGTTTTGAGTGTATCTGTGTTTTCTGCTCTCCATCAGACTTTGGCGTTATGTGTTTGTATGCAGGGGCACGCTCCTCGCCTGGGGTTAAAAACAGAGGCCTGAGTGTTTAGCTGTGGCAGCTTGGCAGTGGTCATGCTTGTTTTGTACTGTTGGCAGGAGCCTCACATGCCTCTCTGCTCTGACTGACAGCATAACACTGTAAGAGGTTTAGACTCGAGGTATGACAAGACCTTTAGCTCATTTCCTTTGTGGAGCAGACATGATCCAATGTTGTTATTATCCAATGTGTATTTACTGTTAAAGAACAAACATGGGTTGATGTTGTGTTTAAATACATTTGACCACATAATATTTCAACTCATTACAGAATATAATCTGTGGTGCAGTGGTTAGCACTATCGCAGCATGAACATTCCAGGGTCGAATCCTTACTTGGCCGGGGCTCTCTCTGTGGAGTTTGCATGTTCTCCCTGCGACCCACAAAGGATAAGAGTTATAGATAGGGGGTGGATTGATGATTACCATTTTTTATAAATATATAACTGTGAATATATACATAAATTGTATTATATTTATTAGTTTCTCAATACAAAGTGGTATAGTATAAATCAGTTTTTCTTCTGTTTCTCCCTGCAGGAATTTGATCATTTCAGTTTGTTTTGGAATGGATTACAGATCAAATAAACAAAAGACAAGTGAAGTCTTATTTTCTCTTTACCTTTCACACTTGACTCATCTCATGCTACTAAAAACATATAATTACATTTGAATAAACTTCGCCATGATCTGTCCCATTATTTTTAAGTGTGCTTGTAAGCACCTTTGCAAGTAATGTAATAGTCTAGACTGGCAAGAATCTGATAGTGGATGAGTTTAAATGTGCATGTTTATCCAACACATTAGAAACAACATAATCAGTGATGAGGAGTAGAAAGGTTGATGGCACATAAGCCTGCTGAAAGGAGCTGGTGAGATAGGATCAGACAAAAGATGGATCTGGCCTCAGGCGTGACCGTCAGAGGGGTCAAAGGTCAGGACACCAAAGAGCAGTGGTCAGTTTATCACAGAGACATGTCATGCAGCCCGGCTGCTTCCTTACATGTTCTGTAATTGATTGTTTAAGTGAGGCTGGGCTGCAGCTCCTGGAACTCATCACCCAGAGTTAGAGAACGTAAGGAATCCATGACTCCTCATTGGAAAGCAACAGAGCATGGCGAAATTTTATCAGATTCCTTTTTGCTTGGTTTAATGAGAAAAGGCTTGGGGTAAACTTAACCAAATTTTTTAAATTGTGAAAACTTTGCAAGAATTTGGAAATGCACACAAATAAATGCATGTTAAGATTCATGTCCCCTTGGTGAACATAAAGGGTAGATAGACAGACAGACAGACAAACATA